AATCTAATGAACAGGAGATTGAAGGATGGCAGAGTTAGCAGAAACTTTTTACTGTCTAAGCAAACTTGGAGAAAATAAATATACAGCAAGACCAGCAAAAAGGAGACGCCTGGATGATGAACCTATCGTTACTCAAAGAAAAGGGGATCGCGAGGAGGAATGGGGTGGAGAAATTTCGGAAATCAAACAAAAGCTTTATCATCGAGTGAAGTCTGCTCGAAGAAACCAGTGCAACTTTGGGGGCCTGACAGTCAGGGCACTAGGCAGGTGAATAAGCACTATCATCACAGAACCTTGGCCAGATAACACCGCAACTTTAACATGATATCCATAAAATTAAATAACTTATTCCTCTCCATAGCATAAGTTCCACTTAACTTCTGAACAGAGGCCTGGTAGATAATCTCAGTAAACTTGACTGAATGGTAGGGTATCTCAGTGAATAAAGTATGCTTGAAGAAACCAGTACAACTTTAGGAGCCTAGCGATCACTGAACTAGACGGATAAGCACAGCCGTCACAGAAATTCGGCACTATGGCCAAAATGTACTAGAACTCCACTCGAGATGCAGTAGGCGATATGGGATAGGCGTTCATAGTTTACTCAGGTTACATGGGTTTAATTAAGAATACAACCCGTGGAGGAAATGTCCAATTATCTGTAAACATGGGAAGCAAGCCTACGCGCTTTGCTCGGTAAGGCGGCAGTGTACGTACTGAGAAATAGCTTGAAAAATAGCACCTGGAGTAATACGTGCGCTGGGACAGGAACCGAATGAAATCGATCAACTAAAAGATAAGAAACGGATTTACGGGACCATAAAATAGATTCGGATAGGATACCGCAATCGGATTAGCCGATCGAAAGAGAGGAGGTAAGATGAACAGCTGGCGTGAGAACGTCACATTAAATATGCCAAAAGGGATTGAAATGCAAACAAGTCAGAAGTCGTGATAGAACGGGAGTGGGATATGAGGGTAAGGAATAGCCAGATGTGACTGGAAAGAACCAACCGTTTTGGCAGAACGTGGGTCTAGGGATTGACTTCATTTGTCTCTGACGAGTTGTAGCTTGGTGCTGAGAATGGCAAGACTCACTGATGATGCCGACTACGATGCCGACGAAACGTCTGCGACTGTACTAAGTGTATCAAATATATAGACAAACAAGGACCGTTCGATCAATACTTGGTAGCAAAAAGAAAACTTAAACAAGGGAAGATTGGAAAGGCTAGACTAAGAAGCTTAGTTAAGGGACAGCTTTAACCATATCTAGTTCGCCTTTACTTTACGGCATAACTTACCCATCTTGAATAATCTATATTTAATTGGGCCACTGCTTCTCGAATAACCGTAAGCCCACTGGAAAAAGCCTGAAGAAATTGACCTCGCACTACCAACAATGCCATTGGCGGTGTTTCCGTCGCAAAAGCTGTAGATGGAAATTCGGAGTTAGCAAGGCGCTCAGTTAATGGTCCATAGGAGCCTGTCAGATCAATCGGATTATCTGCCTGACAGGAAGCAGATTCCACGTGAGCATGTTTTGGTACGTTCAGTGCTTCTTGATGACCCTCGGCCTCATCAACAGCAAACGAATTTAATGAAATTGATGGTTTTGGTAGTAGAGGCGAATCAGCCAATGTAGGCATTGGGCGAAGCAAAACGTAATAGGAAGCAGAAGAAGTGAGTGCTGTTAAGCTCCAACTGGCAGATAGCAATTCCCAAGCCTGTAAGGAAGACAAGGAATAGTAAGATTAATCAAATATAGGGGCCAATAGCTACGGCTTGCTAGGGCTAAATAAGAGTTAAACAAGGAAGAAAAGAATACTTGCAAAAGGGGCTTATCATAGAGCAAGTGAACTCACGATATCTGTCATAGAAAGCGTCGTATTTTCGCAGATCGACCGGCGTCGCAGCATGCGGCAAGCTTCCACCGCGGCAAATTGTGCCGTTCGTAAACGAGATAGCCGCAACTCGAGCCCTGGGGACTCAGAGATGGAAGCAGTTTGGTAGGCCAAAGCAGAACTGACGAAGGAATGGGAAATAAATAAAGGCACGTAAGAAAGACTTTTCGATGGACAAAAAAAGGCAATTAAGTGGTAATGTCTTAGAAGGAGAGTTTCTATGATACGGAAATAAGCCTTATTTGATAGAAGTGGGTTGACCTCGTTGTCGCAAATTGGTCTTGTTATCAGGAGGACTATGTAGAAAGCCCCTAATCATCTGCGTCGTCGTTGTCGTTGTCATGATTCCCAGCATCTGACAGTAGACGTTTCGACAGCATCGTGGTTGGATTCATCAGTGAGCTTTGCCATTCTCTGCACCAAGCTACGAACGCATCATAGACAAGTGGAGTCATTGCCTCAACAACCGTTCTGCCAAAAACGGTTACACAGTAAACAGTAGACAGTGGTCGTTCCTTGATTAAACCCATGCTATCTGAGCAAACTGTGGACGCCTATCTCTGGTCGCATGCGGCATCTCAAGTAGATTTCTAGTGCATTTTGGCCCA